TGTATGGAATAATTCATCTGCAAGTCCATTTAGTTCTGAGATTACTTTGTTAAAAATTATTTATTACTGATTCAATGTTGCTATTCATTATAGGTCTGCTCAGGTTTTCTATTCCTTCCTGATTCAAACTTGGGAGGTTGCATATTTCCAGAAATTAATTTATTTATTTCCTCTAGGTTTTCTTGTTTGTGGAAGCAGAGCTTTTAATAATAATTTTTAAGGAACATCACACACCGGGGCCTATCACGGGGAGGGGGAAGGGGGGAGGGATTGCATTGGGAGTTATACCTGATGTAAATGACAAGTTGATGGGTGCTGACGAGTTGATGGGTGCAGCACAGCAACATGGCACAAGTATACATATGTAACAAACCTGCATGTTATGCACATGTACCCTAGAACTTAAAGTATAATAATAATTTAAAAAATAAAAAATAAAAATAAAAAAATTTAAAAAAGAAAAAGAAAAAACATTTTAATTAAATTAAAAGATTCAATTATGATTAAATTTCCTAATAAATGGATTCTACAGATAAAAAAAAGCATACACTTCAAGTTAAAAAGGTAAATGGAAAATAAAAATATGAAAAAAAAAGAATCTTTGTATTTTTGTGATGTCATTTATAATGTCTTCTTTTGCATTTCTGGTTTTGTTGTAATCTCTCTTTTTTCATTTCTGATTTTGTTGTAATCTCTCTCTTTTTTTTTTTCATGATTAATCTGGAGAGTGGATTATTTTGTTTATCTTTCTTAAGAACCAAGACTTCTTGTTTCAGTGACCTTTTGTATTTTTACCTTTCCTTTTTGGTCTCTATTTTATTTAGTTCTACTAGGATTTTTTTTTTTTAACTCATTTTCTTCTGTCAATTTTTGGTTTTTTGGTTTAGTTTGTTCTGTGTTTCTAGTTCTTGGCAGTCCATCGTTAGGTTGTTAATTTGTAATGTTCCTACTTTTTTAGCATAGGCATTTAATGCTATGAACATCCCTCTTGGACTCTTGGAATCTTGGAACTCCTTTTTCTGTATCCCACACAATTTGATGGGTTGTGTTTTCCTTTTCATTTGTTTCAAAAATTGTTATAATGTCCACCTTAATTTCTTCATTGACACAATAATCATTAAGAAACATGTTCGATTTCCACGTATTTGTATAGTTTCCAAAGTTTCTAAAGGTAGTGATATTCAGTTTTATTCAAGTGTGGCCTGAGAAGATTCTTGATAAGTTTTTAATGTTAAAAAATTCACTGAGACTCGTTTTGTGGCCTAAAATACAAGGTCTATACAAGGTGATACATGGTCTATGTTGGAGAATGTTCCATGTGCTTATGTGAAAAAATATGTACATTTCACAGTTGTTGAGTAGATTTTTCTGTCAAGGTGTGTTAGGTCTATTGCACCTAAAGTCCAAATAAGTTCAATATTTCTTTGTTGATTTCCCATCTAAATGATGTCTAATGCTGTGAGTGGGCTGTTGAAGCCCCACACTATTATTGTATTATTTTCCACCTCTCTTATTAGATATAGTAATATTTGTTTTATGAATCTGGGTGCTCCAGTATTGAGTGCATATGTACTGAGTAATGTTATATCCTCCTGTTGAATTAATCCTTTTATCATTATGCATTGACCTAATTTGTTTTTTTAACATTTTAATTTAATATCTCTTATATCTAGTATAGATTTAGCTACTCCTACTCCTTTTTGGTTTCTACTTCCATAAAATATCTTTTTTCAATCCTTTCCTCTCAGTCTATGTATGTATTTACAGAGAAGGTGAGTTTCTTGGAAGCAGCGTTTAGATGGATCATGTTTCTTATATTTTCTGCCAATCTATCTCTCTTTAGTAGAGTATTTAATCCATTTGAGGTCAAAGTTAATATTTATATATGAGGTTTATTTTCTGTAAGGTCATTAAATCTTTTCTAATTGTTTTATACATTGTTTGTTTCTTTTTCTCTGTTTGTCTTTATGGTTTGGTGAAATTTTGTTGTATTCACAATTTGACTTTTCTTCCTCCTTTGTGTGATTGTTTTATAAGACCATTGAGTTTTATATGTTAATGAGTTATCATAATCATGAACATATACCTTTTATTTCCATGTCAAGGACATTTTTGAGCATTTGTTTTAGGTCTGGTCTAGTGGTGATAAATTCCCTCAACAATTGCTTGTCTGGAAAAGACTTTATTTCTCCTTCATTTATGAAGGTTAATCATGCTGGATATAAAATTTTTAATTATATTTTTTCTTTCAGCAATTTGTAAATCCCATTCCATTTTCTTCTGACCTGTGAAGTTTCTGCTAAGAAGTTCATTCTTAGTCTGATGGGGTTTCTTTCATAGGTGACTAGATCCATTTTTCTTGCTGATCATAAAAGTATTTCTTTTATAATGACTTTAGGTATTCTGATTTAATATGCCTTTTTGCAATGTATTTGTCTTGGGATTGTTGGGACTACTATATCTGGATGTCTAAATCTCTTGCTGCACTTGAGATGCTTCTATAAATAATTTTCTTAAATAGGATTTCTAAACTTTTTTTAAATCTTTCTTTCTACGCCAGTAATACCAACAAATTGTAAGTATTGTTATTTTTGCACACTCATCTTAAGGGCTTTGTTCATTTGTCTTTATTTTTGTTTGACTAGATTACTTCAAAAGATGTGTCTTCACATTTTGAGAGTCTTCCTTCTGCTTGGTCTTTGGAATGTTTTTGTAACCCCTTCAATGAGTTTATAAGTTCCAAAATGTCTGTTATTATTACTTTTTTTTTTAAGAAAATCTATCCTCTTAGTAATTTCATATTAACAGCCTAAATTGATATTCTAATTTCTTTGTATTGCTTTACAAATTTCCATTTAAGGGCCAGATGTGGTGGCTCATGCCTGTAATCCCAGCACTTTAGAGAGCCAGCGTGATTGGATCACCTGAGGTCAGGAGTTTGAGATTAGCCTGGCCAAAATGGTGAAACCCCATCTCCACTAAAAATACAAAAATTAGTCAAGCGTAGTGGTGTGTGCTTGTAGCCCCAGCTACTCAGGAGTTTGAGGCAGGAGAATCACTTAAACAAGGGAAGCAGAGGTTGCAGTTAGCCAAGATTGCACCACTGCAGTCTAGCCTAGGCAACAGAGCGAGACTCTGTCACACACACACACACACACACACAAAACAATCACTTTAATTTCATTAAGCCTCTATAAAGTCAATATTTTGATTTCCTTATCTGGCATTGTGAAGATTTCTTTTGCTCAGAGTCTATTGTGTTAATATGAGGGTGTTATAGTACATTTCTTTTTCAGGCTTTCTGCATCGATACACTGATTTCTGAGCAACCAGGGGAATAGCGGATTCTTCTTATTTTTGAATTTACTTTTATTGAGTGTTGAATTTTGTTTTTGAATATATGACTATGATAATAACTACAATCATTTTTAAGAAATAGTATAGAAAGAAATAAATGTTATAGTGCAAATGCAAAAGAAACTGCAAGAGAAGTTGGGATGATTATTGAGTATAAAAAGAGAAGGAATAAAGTCCAGTATTTGATAGCACAATTGGGTGACTACAGTTTAAAGTACTTTGTTGTATATTATAAAACAACTAAGAGAGTGGAATTGGAATGTTACAACACAAAGAAATAATAAATGTTTAAATTGACAGATACTCCAGTTACACTGATTTCATAATCACACATTGTATGTATGTGTCAAAACATCTATACCCCATAAATACATACAACTATTACATAGTCACAAAATTTAAAAATTTTAAATTAGGTCTGTAATAAAAAAGAGCTACATTAACATTAAACAGTATGGTTTAGAAAATGGCCACATCTCTTTTCTACCTATTTTAAGTGATTATTAATGAGCAACATGGTAAAGTGGTTATGACCACCACCTCTAAATCTGGCATCATGATTCAAAGTAAGAGGAGAACAGATTTTTCCCTTCTCTTTTTTTTTCCAGATTTGTAATTACAGGACCAGTTTTGACAGTCAGCATGTATGTTAACAGTTTTTCCAAATTATAAGACAGTGTCTTCTGGAAGTGAACTCAAAATAAACTTTTTGCTTTTGATTTCAGCTTTAGTTTTGATCTAAAGTTCTGATTATAAACTTTCATCTCAGAGCCAAACATCCTCACCTTGTGAATTTTTATAAACGTTTTGTTCTGAGAGATTTCCAAAGTGTTTCTACAAAGAAAACTGTCTATTTTTAAAAATTTTAAAAGTAACTATTTTTTTAAGGTAGAGGGGCTCGTGTGAGTTCTGCCTTATGGAAGGGCTACTCTATGTGAGATACCTTATAAAAAATATTGTTAATCCACAAAATAAATCTGTAACATAGGTATCAATAGCTTAACTTTATGTATGAGTAAACTGCAGAATAGCTAAGTAACTTGCCCAAGATAACAAAACTAGGAGGTAGCCTGCACTTCAAATTTGGATGTGTCATGCTCTAACACAAATATTCCCATTGGCAGAAAACATTCCTATATTCACAAAAGTTAAATTCTCCAGAATGTTCAATTTATCTTATATTTCTCAAAGTGTTCATTTTTAAAGAACTTGACAACTGAAGTTACCTAATCACTTTATGCTTTATTGAAACTTACATGTTCTCCGTACCCAGAACACAACATACCTCATTCCCCTATATCCTTGGTCATGCTGTGGTTTCCCCTCTGCCTGGCATAATCTTTATCTCTTCTCTACCTGGCTAAGGTTTCCAAATAATTCAAGATTTGGGAGACTGCAACTCCTCCATCAAGAAGCCTTCATTGACTTCCATATAGGAATGGGCACACTCTGTGTGATCACACAACCATATATGCTTATGCTAGCAAAGCATTCACCAAACTGTGCTTTCTTTAAATATTTTACTATTTTACTTATTTTTTCAGGAGTTTCTTTTCCCTACACCTCTAACATATGGCCCACAATAGAAGCTCAATAAATGTTTACACAAAGAATAAAGTAAGGAAAGGAAGAGGCAAACATACCTTCCCATCATGTCCCTTTGCTGACATCATTGCGATCCACAACTGAAAAGAGTACTTCATTTTCTTCAGTTTAACATGTTGAACTGAGGCTCCTAGAATAGTTTCAAGGTGAACCACAACCTTATAAAAGAAAGATATAAAAATAGACAAGCATGATGAGAAGAGGAGATACTACTGAAGAGTGACATCAGCAAGATAGCAGACCAGAAAGCTCTAGGCCCTCATTGCCCCATGGAAACACCAAAACAAAACAAAACAAAACAAAACAAAAACAAACAAACAAAAATACCCCACCAGATATAGAGCAAAGTAGTTTTGTGAGAACTCTAGAAACAAGCTAAGAAGCAACCACGGAAATGCCAAAAACAAACAAACAAAACAAAAAAACACAAAAAGCTACACTCAAAATGCTAGAAAATTTCATGTCATTTCTGCTTGTCCTTGTCCCACTGCCTCTCTGACACAGCACTGAGTGTCTGAAAGAATCCATCATATTATTTGTTCCTCCATTGGAATGGAAGAATATTAATGGAACTTGCTTGTAAAGTTCTAGCCTCTCTGGGGACAGGCTGAGGAACTGGTTTGTCTTTTCTGACTTGGAATACTGACTAGAATTCAGTATAGTGTAAACTGTAGGTTGGAAAATGCTTAAAGCAGTGGTGAAAGCTATTGCATAAATGAATTGCTGGGTTACTGCAGATATCTGGGTACCTGTGAGCAAGAGATTATATGCATGGAAATAAACTACAACTTAAGCTCTGAGAAGAAGCAGAAGTAAGACACTGCTGATCATTGTTAGGACCCACCAGACCACCCTTCTTTGCTTCTAGACCTATAACTAGACTCAAGTCTCATCAGGTCATGTTTTTTTTTTTTTCTAATTTATATAGACATAAATCCAGGGAATATGCATGACAATGAATATTAAAAGTATGGATAATCGTGGAAGAAACACAAACCTGAAACAGGCCAAATATATTGATATAGGCTCACAAAGGAGAGAGTCTGGATTTAGTGTTGTAGCTCAGCGTGTCAGAAAAACTCTAAAAAAGTTTAGAAAAACATAGACGAAAAGGTGTCCTACACTAAATGAAGTTGAAATTCCAGTCCTGCCTTGACCTACTGTAGAGGAAAGAATCCAAATTCTTAGGGATATTTATCATTTAAGACCTTCTCCCCCACCTTGGGAGGGTACTGGGAACAATTCTTAGCCACAATTATGAGAAATAAATTTTTGTGGGAACCCTATCATCTTTGAAGATCATTTTTCTCTGTAGGTCAGAAATTGCAAGAAGGATTGATAGCATTGAACTAATAAAATAAATTTAATTGAAATAATTGGATTCCCAAGTGGCAGGGGCCAAGTGACAGCACTTAACTGACAAAAACTAGGTAAGCAGAAGAGTCAAAGCAGCAATCAGAATAATCTGACTGATACAGACCTATGACATTGGTTAGTTAAGCACGTTTCTAGTAGTGAGACAGATAATAAGTCCATTATATTATTACTAAATCTGTATAAGCAGAGGAGTCCTAGGTCAATTGATCAAAATTCTAGCTTGTAACACAAAACAGAGTTATGGCCCTTCAATCAATTCCCACGCTTGAGCCAGTTTACAGACTCACACCCCTTGAATGAAGGGAAGAATGGGTCTCACCACATGCCCAACAACATATAATGTCAATCTTTGGCATGGAAGAATTAGGGAAAAATAATCAGAAGTTTTGGAGAATATTGTACATAAGTTCTGAACTGATACTAATGCCAGGAGACCTAAAATGATACTATAGTCTATAGTTAGAATAGTGGCTTATGGAGGTCAGATGAACAAAAGAGGTGTTTATGTTTTTGTTTTAATATTTATAATTTAGGAGGAAGTATTTTTGTTACATGGATATATTGCATAATGGTGAAGTCTAGGGTTTCAGTGTAGCCATCAACCTAATAATGTACGTTGTATCCACTAAGTAATTGTTCATCCTTCATCCCCTCTGATCGCTCGCATCCTTTTGAATCTCCAATGTCTATTATTTTACTCCTTATGTCCAGTTCTATACATTATTTAGCTTTCACTTATAAGTTAAAACATGTGGTATTTGCCTTTCTGTTTCCGAACCATTCACTCAAGACAATGGCCTCTAGTTTCATCGATGTTACTGGAAAAGAAAAATGACTTTATTCTCTTTTTTAACGGCTGAGTGCAATCCATTGTATATATACACCACATTTTCTTTATCCAATAATCCATTGATTGACACTTTAGTTGATTCTATATATTTTCTGTTGTGAACAATGCTGCTATAAACACATGAGTGTAGGTACCCTTTTGTATAAAATTTATTTCCTTTTGGGTAGATAACCAGTAGTGGAATTGTTGCATAGAATGGTAATTCTATTTTTAATTCTTTGAGAACTCTACCTACTGTATTCATTACAAGTTATACTCGTTAATATTCCTACTAAAGCTTATGAGTGCTTCCTTTTTTCTCCACACTCTCCCAAATCTGTTATTTTTTGACTTTTGAATAATAGCTACTGTGGTGTAATATAATAGCTAATCAAAATTTTAATTTGCATTTCATTGATTAGCAATGTTAAGCAGTTTTTTATACATTTGTTGGCCATTTGTATGTCTTCTTTTGAAAAAGCCTGTTTATGCCATTTGCCCACATTTTAGCAGAATTATTTTTTTGTTGTTGAGATGTCTAAGTTCTTTGTGGAACCTAGTTATTAATATTTTATTGGATGTATTGTTTGTAAATATTTTATCCCATTCTGTACGTTGTCTGTTTATTTTGTTGATAATTTCTCTTGTTGTAAAGAAGCACTTTAGTTTAATTAAGTCCCATTTGTCTATTTTTGGTATTGTGCGTTTGTTTTTAAGGTCTTTATCATGATATCTTAGCCAAAACTGATGTTCAGAATACTGTTTCTTGTTTTCTTCCTGTATTTTTGTAGTTTTGGTCTTACATTTAAGCCTTTAATACATTTGTGAAAATTTTTGTACATGGTGAGAGATACAGGTCCAGATTTATTCTTCTGTGTATGGCCTCTCAATTTTCCAAGAACCCTTTTTGATTACGATGTCCTTTTCAGAGTCTATCTTTTGTTGACTTTATCAAAGACCAGTTCGCTGCAGGTATGTGGCTTAATTTCTGTGTTCTCTCTTCTGTTCTTTTGATCTATGTGTCTATTTTTATGCTAATACCACGCTGTTGTAGTTTCTATAGCTTTGTAGTATAATTTGAAATTAGATAATGTGATGCACCCAAGTTAGTTCCTTTTGCACAGGATTGCTTTGGCTATGCAAGCTCTTTGGTGGTTCCATATGAATTTTATGATTTTTTCTAATTCTGTGAAAAATTACATTGGTATTTTGATGAGAATTGAAATGAATCTGTAGATTGCTTTAGATAATATAGCCATTTTAATGATGTTCATTCGTCTGTCTCAAGAGCATAACATGTTTTTCAATTTATTTGTGTCATCTCAAATTCCTTTAATCAGTGTTTGATAGTTTTCCTTGTAGGTATTTTTTACTTCCTTGGTTAAATGCATTCCAGGTATTTCATTTTTATAGCTACTATAAATGCTAACAAACTGACTACTTGATTTGACTCTAAGCTTGATTATTACTGGTAAATAGAAATGCTACTAATTTTTGTACATTGATTTTGTATCCTGAAACTTTACTGAATTCACTTATCAAATCTAGGAGTCTTTTGGGTAGAATCTTTAAAATTTTCTGTGTATAAGGTCATATCATCAGCAAACAGAAATAATTTGACTTATTTTTCTTTTTTTTTTTTTGACTTAAACAACAGAAATTTGTTTTCTCCCAATACTGAAGGCTAGAAATTTGAAATCAAGGTGTCAGAAGGGTTGGTTTCTTCTGAGGTCTCTCTCCTTGGCTTGTAGATGGCTGGCTTCTCCCTATGTCTTCTCATGACCTTCTCTCGGTACTTCTCTGTGTCCTAATTTCCTCTTTTTATGACACTAATTGTATTAGACTGGGGCCCATCATAATGACCTCAATTTAACATAATTATTTCTTTAACAACTCTATCCCCAAATACAGTCACATTCAGAAGTGCTAGGGATTAGGACTTGGCATGTGAATTTAGAGGGGACTCAGTTCAATCTATAACACTCATCATTAAGTATGATGTTAGTTTCTTTGTAAATGTTCTTCACCAAGTTGAGGAAATTCTCCTCTATTCCTAGTTTCCTGAGAGCATATATATACATATTGTTAAAAATAACATAAATGGCATCATCACATGATTTTTTGTTTGTTTGTTTGAGACGGACTTTGGCTCTTGTTGCCCAGGCTGAAGTGCAATGGCACGATCTCCACCTGCCTCAGCCTCTCAAAGGGATGAGACCACAGGCGTGAGCCACGGCGCCCAGCCGATTACATGCTCTTTTAAAAATGGAAATCTGGGCCAGTGCAGTGGCTTATGCCTGTAATCCAGCACTTTGGGAGGTTAAAATGGGAGAGTCACTTGAGCTCAGGAGTTTAAGACCAGCCTGGGCAACATGGCAAGACCCTATTCCTAGAAAAAATTTAAAAATTAGCAGGGTGTAGTGGCATGTGCCTGTAGTCCCAGCTACTTGAGAGGCTGAGGCAGAAAGATCACTTGAGGCCGGAAGTTTGAGACTGCAGTGAGCTATGATCACACTACTGAACTCCCGCCTGGGCAACAGAGCAAGACCCTATCTCTAAATTAAAAAACCCATGAAAAACAGAAATCTGCTCTAATCACTCCCTTGTATAAAACTCTTCAGTATATCTCATTTCTATTAGAAAAAGCATGGTTCAATTTAGATGCATTTTACTTCTGTCTCTTGCCTGACGTCCCTGGCTACAACTGCCAGTATTACGTTGAAAAGGAGTATTGAAAATGGGCATTTTTGTCTTGTTTCAGTTCTTAGAAAGAATGCTTTCAACTTTTCCCCATTCAGTATAAGGTTGACCATGGGCTTGTTATATATGGTTTTTATCACTTTGAGGTATGTTTCTTCTATGCTTAGTTTTAAAAGACTTTTTATAATAAAGTTATGCTGAATTCTATTAATTTTTTCTGCTTCTATAGAGATGCTCGTATGGCTTTTGCTT